TGCCCCTGCCGTAACAGCTGCACACTGCGCCACATCGCTCTCGTTCAGAGAGTGCTCCAGATGTGCCAGAAACTCCGGCCATTCCCCTTTCTGATGGAACGCCGACAGATACGCACGCGGCAAACCCTCGCCCACACGAGCCGACAACACCCGGCCGCCAAGGCGTGATCCCTCCAGAACATACAGCACGCCCAGCGCCATGCCGTCATGCTCGGGAAAGACATCCTGACGCGCCGCAGGAACTTCACGCCCCATCTGCCGCAGATCCTCTTTCAGCAGTTCCGAGCGTGAACGCCATGACGGCAGTACGCCCGCGTGCTTCGCGAGATAGGTCTCGGCCGTCAGAAGCGCGCCTGCATGAGCCGTCAGAAACGCACCGTAGGATTCTCCATCCGCAAGATCGAAACGCGAAAAAGCTTCATCCACGGCTTCATGCGCCTTTCGGCTGACACGTCGCAGTTCCGCAAGGCCTGAGCCATCCTGACTGCCGATGCGTTCAACCGTGTCCATCCGTCCCGATCTTCCTGTCTTTTGTGAAACCGTTTCTGGTTCTGTCCGTAATTAGAGTGACTTGCAACAACCAGAACCGTCTCGACACACCACAAATTCTGGAGAAACGCCGTTGAGCAGCACCCCGCCCCGAGCGCCGTCCCCTTCTGACAAACCTCTCGCCGGACGGGGGAAACGACACCGTCGCCTGAAAACCGCTGGCGGTATTGTCGGAGCGTTGGTGGCCGCCCTCATCGTGCTGATCCTGGTCTGGCAATGGGACTGGTTCGTTCCCTACATTGACCGCAAGGCCACAGCAGCCCTGTACCGCCCCGTCAGCATCGCACATCTGCATGTTCATCTTGGCTTCAAACCAACAATTACGGTCGATGATCTGAAAATCGGCCAGCCCGAGGGCTTCGAGAAAGAAAGGGACGACTTTGCCTCGGCTCACGCCATCACGATCAAGGTCGATGCATGGCGTTACCTGACAGGTGGCGGTCTCTCCGTGCCACTGATCCGTGTCGACGCACCAAAAGGCGACATCGTTTCACTGGCTGATGGCACGAACAATTATACGTTCCCCTCGTCCTCCGGCACATCATCCCAGACAGCGTCGCCTTCAACAACGCTACCCAAGCTCGGCAAGATCGAGATCAATGACGGCGATATCCGTATAGCGATGGCAAAGCTGAAGACGGACATGCACGTCCTCATCCATACCGTTCCGCCAAAAAACGGCGATGACGGGCATATCGTCATTGATCTCGAAGGCCGGTACGCCCGCGCACCCATCACGGGTCATATCGTTGGGGGCGCCCTTCTGGACATCACAGACACCACGCATCCCTATCCAATCGACGGACGCCTCGCCAACGGCCCCACCTACATCACTCTGCGCGGCACGGTTGACGATCCGACCCACTTCCGCGGTACCAATCTTGCACGGCATTTTGCCGGTCGGACATGGCGCTCCTTTACCCACTGACGGGCGTACCCATTCCGGAAACCCCGGCCTATAGCGTCACCGGCAATCTGGCCTATTCCGACCGCGCAATCCGTTTCCAGAAATTCGAAGGCCATATGGGTTCTTCGGATATCGGCGGAGACATCAACGTCAATCCGCATCAGAAGCCGATCTTCGTAGATGCGGCGCTTCATTCCCATCAAGTGGATCTGGCGGATCTGGGCGGCTTCATTGGCGCACAGCCCGGCGAAGCGAAAAAAGCCGAACCGGCCAGCACCCGCGTACTGCCTGACAAGGCCATCAATGTCCCGAAACTCAACGCTGCCAATGTGCATCTGACCTATCACGGCGATCACATTCGCAATAAAAACTGGCCTCTGGACAATATTGATACCGAACTCGACATCCGCGACGGCGCCATTGACCTCAAACACCTGACCTTCGCCACCGGGACAGGAACCATTTCCACAAATGCTACGCTTGAGCCGACCAAAAACGCCCAGTTCCACACCCGATTTCGTCTGGATGTCTCCCGCCTTCCCCTCTCCCGTATCATGACATCCAAGGACATGTTCCAGGGCGAAGGCACTATTGGCGGTCATGTGACGCTTAATTCGACTGGCAATTCGGTCGCAACGCTGGTCGAAAACGGCAACGGCGGAACGACACTGGTGCTGGACCGGGGGGGTGATGTGACGGCCCTTCTTCCCGATCTTCTGGGGCTCAAGCTCGGCTCGGCCATTCTGTCTGCGCTTGGAATTCCGGATCGCTCAAAACTGGAATGCCTCGTGGCGGATCTGCCGCTCAAGAACGGTATTGTGCATACCGATGCAATGCTCCTGCAAACCGTACCACCCGGACAAGCGGCACCGGTACCGTCAATTTTCATAAGGACACGCTGGATTACGCCATCACCACCCGTTCGATCGGGCCACAGATCCTGTCCCTGCCCGGCGCGGTCCATATTTTCGGACCGATCAGCAGCCCGACAATTCTGCCGGGTGCGGAACTGATCGGCCGCGTCGCAGCCTCTGTGGGGCTTGGGATCGTCTTTCCGCCAGCAGCTCTGATCCCGACCATCCAGCTTGGTGTCGGCAAGGGCTCGGCCTGCGAAAAAGCCATTCTGGAAGCCAATGAACATCCCGCCGCCGGGATCGCACCCGGCGCCACCACAGGCTCAGGCCCCAGCAGCATCCCGCACCCAGCACACCCACAGACAGCAACGCATCCGCAAACCTCACACCATCGCCTGTCTCCGGCAGAGATCCACAAGGCATGGGAGAAAAAATCGAACCCGAAATGAAAAGATATGCTCCGGGTCGTGGCAGAACCAGCTTTTTTGACTATAGCTTGGCCCAGCCATCCCCATCCCCCGGAGTGTCCGCTTGCTGCTATCCAGACTCGACCGCTGGTTCCATATCACGGCCCGCGGTTCAACGATCCCGCGTGAGGTCATTGCCGGACTGACGGTCTTCGGGGCCATGGCCTATATCGTGGCCGTCAACCCGGCCATCCTTTCGGCGGCGGGTCTGGACCGTCACGACATGGTCATGACCACGATCGCCGGCGCCGTCGCCGGAACGCTGCTGATGGCGCTCTGGGCCCGGCTGCCAATAGCTCTTGCCCCCGCCATGAGCAGCAATGTCCTGTTCGCACAGGTCGTCGTCCAGCAGGCCCATGTCAGCCCGCGCACGGCCTTCACGGTCGTCCTGTTCAGCGGATTATGCTTCACTGCCCTCTCCCTGAGCCAGATCCGCCAGCGCATCATCCGTGGCTTTCCGCCCTCGATTGTGCTCGGGATCCAGATCGCACTCGGTGCCTTTATTGCCCGGATCGGCCTGATGACGGGCGGCATCGCCGTTCCTTCGCCCGAAGGTCTGACATTCGGATCCCTGAGCAACCCGTCGGTCCTGCTCAGCATGGCTGGCGTCGTCCTGAGCGCCATTCTCGTCGTCCTGCGCGTCCCGGCCGGGCTGCTCCTCGCCATCCTCACCATTACCATCGCCGGACTGTTCATCCACACGCCCTCAGGCCCGATTACGCATCTTCCAGCCCAACTTCTGGACTGGCCACATTATCCGACCAACCTGTTCCTGCCCTTCGATTTTCACGAATATTTTTCCCATCTCGGACTTCTCGTCCCCATCACGCTCTATTTTCTGCTGAGCGATTTCTTCGACGCAACCGCAACCATGATGAGCGTCGCGCACCGCGCAGGTCTGGACGGAACGGTTGAAAAACCCGCGCTCGATCATCGTGCCTTCGGCTCTGATGGAGCGGCCAGCATCATCGGCGCCTCGCTCGGAACCTGCACGGTCTCCGCCTATGTCGAGAGTCTGGCAGGCGTGGAAGCCGGCGGCCGCACGGGCCTGAGCGCACTGGTCGTCGCTATCCTGTTCGCCCTGTCTTCCGTTTTCTGGCCGCTCATCACCGCCATTCCCGCGATCGCCACAGCGCCCGTGCTCATTCTCGTGGGACTGAATATGCTCGGTAGCCTCAGTCGCGTTGCGGAAACACCTGCAGAAGCCATCCCGCCCCTGACGATGCTGCTGATTGCAGGCGTGACCGGCAATTTCATGCTGAGCCTGTCCTGCGGCCTGCTGATCTACACCGCGCTCGCCGTCGCCACACGTCAGTTCCAGCGCCTAACGCCAATCGTCCTCGGTCTGGACGCCGCCTTCATCTTTTACATGCTTCTTCAGGCACACATGGGAGCATGAGGACTTTTTAAAGCGCGGTTTTAATTCTTTTTTCATAGCTTCAGGGCAGGCTGCCTCGCATGACTTCCTGCCCCCCCAGTCCGCGCCACGTCTTCATCGCCACGCCCTGCTTCGGTGGCACCATCACACTGAATTACATGCAGTCCCTCATCGGCTGCATGGCCACAGCACCGGCCCATAATCTGCAGCTCACCCTGTCCACAATCGGCAGTGACGCCCTCATCACGCGGGCCAGAAACACGCTTCTGCATCAGTTCGTGACCATGACCGATGCCACCCATCTTCTTTTCATCGACAGCGATATCGGCTTTTCCATAACCGACATTCTCGCCCTGCTGGATGCAAACCGCCCTCTGATCGGGGGCGCCTATCCCCTGAAATCCCATTACTGGGACCACGATACGGACCGTTTCATGGCCGCTGGCGAAGACCGCCGGACAGCCAGTCTGCGCTATGTCGGGACTGCACCGCCCTTCGGCAGCCCCTGGGCAGATTAGTCGTCCCGTCTCCTATATCGGAACCGGCTTCATGCTCATGACCCGCCAGATGGTCCTCGACATGATCGCCCACTATCCCGAGACCCGATACAGCCGCATCGACGCGAAGTCCGAAGGCCAGACTTCGCAAGCACCGTCGTCAGACGCCTATGCCCTGTTCGACTGCCTGGTCGACCCGGAAACCCGGACCTATCTTTCCGAAGATTTCGCCTTCTGCCGCCGCTGGATCACAATCGGAGGAAAGGTTGCCCTCCATCGCGGTCTGTCCCTGACCCATACAGGCAGCACGACGTTCAAAGGCGACCTGTCCGCACGAACGCTGCCACTTTCTACACCCTGAACCTGAAACGACCTGTTTTCCGGCATCATCTGCCACTATTCCGTCATATTAAACCGGTTTAAACAGTCATGCGGTGTCGGGAGCGTGATGCATACATTCCCCGACACCGCTCCCACTCTCTTCAGACCATAACCGCCTGACGGAAAAACGGGATGTTGGCCACAGGGTCAGCCGCCCCTGCAGCCGTGTTGTAATACTGCTTGTGAAAATGGCTTAGAACTGCCGGATCGCTCGGCGACGGCGAAGACCGGCGTCGCGGTAATACCGGTGCGGCATTGCCGAGGCATAGTCTCATTTGGAGACAAGCTGCGCTCTCGGGCAGATCCTGCGGACGCATCCCCTCCGATCCGCTCGACCTTTGCCTGCCGGATACACAGAAGTTTGACCTCGCAGTCGTCTTGCGTCGCGGGCTCATCTCCACAAAACCCGAGCCGGGCCCCCCAATCTGCCGGACATATGTCCCCCGACTTTCCGCAATGGCCGTGCCCGTCACCAGATTGACCGCAACATCCCCATCCAGCCCGAGCGCCGCCAGTGCGGGAGCGACCACCAGATGCTTGAGCTGGCCTGCATCAATTCCACTCATGGCATCTCCTCACTTCGTGGTCAGGGACAGGGCGACATGCACCATGCCCGTCCCCAGAATGGATGTAACCAGTGTGATGATCCCAGTAATGACCGCCCGCCCTCCGATCAGCCGGTCCAGCTTCCCGTTAACCACGCGATTCCCCTCATCAACCTTCGTTTCCAGCAGCTTCATCTGATCCCGTAGCGACGAGATTTCCTGCCGCATCTCGGTGCGCAATTCCTCATATCGATCCGAAAGCCCCCCCGCGATCGTCTCCAATCGCAGAACCCGATCTTCGAGCATCCGCAGCGTATAAGCGCGTCTCTCATTTCCATCAGCCAGACTGACTACCTGGCCTTCCCCGTCCGACATGCCGTCCCCCAAATAAAAAAAAAGCGCTCCCCGGAAGGAACGCTTTTGTGGCATTAAGCCATTAATATAGAAACAAGCACCTGATTTATCAATGAAAACCTGAAACCTTCAGGCAAGCGCACCAAAAGCCGACTTGGCCCCCTTCGGAGATAGGCGCATAATTGCGTCCCATGACTGTTCTTCCGACAGAAACACTTCTCGATCTGCGTGGTCTGGCCTGCCCCATGCCCGTCCTCAAAGCCAATCGCGCCCTGCGTGACATGGCCCCGGGTGCGAAGCTGCGCATCCTCGCCACCGACCGCGCCTCAGTGGCGGATTTCCAGTCCTATTGCCGCGAAACCGGCCATGCGCTCATTGCGTTCACGGAAACCGCAGGCATGCTTTCCTTCGTGATCCGGCAGTGGCCGGCGTCACCCTTCCCTGGACTAACCAGGCCGTTCCCGTGTGCGCTCACTGGTTTTTGCCTGAATCCTCGGTCTTCAAATGCCTTATAATGTGCTAAAGTTCTATAATCCGCTTCCGTTCCAACGCGTGCTATCCTATATTATATCTCTCTATCTTCCCGTTTAATTCATCTCCTTAACATTGACACCCTACATATTCCCTTAATTTATAATCCGCCCTCCATCAATTCCACTCAAACTCTTCCATAAATCATCTCATCTTAAATATCCCTTATTCCATTATCTTCTAATGCCTCCAATCTCCTTCCCCTTCTATCCTTTAACACACTCATTCATTCTCTCTGTTATGTCTTTTGACCTCAAACTTAATACGTATCTTTCTTCTCATCCTTTCTTTCTCTCCCTTTCTCTCTCTCCTTTTCTCTCTCTTCTTCTCTTCTCTCCTTTCTTCTCTTCTTCTTTTCTTTTCTCTTCCCCTCTCTTTCCTCCTCTCCCTCTCCTCCCTATCTCTCTCTCCCTCTTCTCCTTTTCTTCTTTCTTCTTCCTCTCCTTCCTTTCTCTTCCGCTTGAAGGAAATCCTTGTTTTCCTTGCTGCACACAGAATCTTGCACGTTTTTCTCAATGACACACACCAGTTGTGAGATTTGTCTTCGACACAGCCTGTCTGTCTCACCGCCCACTTTCTCAGAAGGGTTAAGGGTTGCAGTTTTTATGTGTTCCCCTTAATGTTTTGATTTATGTGTGAACTAAATTCTAGTGGAAACGATTGACAGAAATGAAAAATATGCAAATAAAATGTGAACACAAAAATTTGCATAATTTAGTTGTTGATTTTAAGATAAGTTCATGTCTAGAGAGAAGTCATCAGATTTATTGCTTACAGTTAGCTTTGTTAGTCACTTTCTTAAAAATAAATGCATGCACGCCAACACCACGTATACAGGGTGTTTCTGCCTAATACGGCATCAATTCAATTAAATAATTCTTTCACTCAAAGTTCTTTTGAGAGCGATGCATTCCCGCTCGCAACCTAGACTTTAACATCAACCTAGATGCAGGTCCTCAAATATAAGTCTATTTAAATTCAAATTTATTTAATTAAAAAGGTAATA